TCTCTCCTGTGTGAGTCCTCTGGTGTGTCACCAGGTGGGAATCCTTATTGAAACTTTTCCCACAATCTGGACACTCATACGGTTTTTCTCCTGTGTGAGTCCTCTGGTGTGTTATCAAACTGGAAATTTGACTGAAACTTTTCCCACACTCTGGACACTTATATGGTTTCTCTCCTGTGTGAGTCCTCTGATGTGTCACGAGGATGCAATTCTGACTGAAACTTTTCCCACACTTTGGACACTCATACGGTTTCTCTCCTGTGTGAGTCCTCTGATGTATCACGAGGCTGGAATTCTGACTGAAACTTTTCCCACAATCTGGACACACATATGGTTTCTCTCCTGTGTGAGTCCTCTGGTGTGTCACCAGGTGGGAATCTTTATTGAATGTTTTCCCACAATCTGGACACTCATACGGTTTTTCTCCTGTGTGAGTCCTCTTGTGTGTTATCAGACTGGAAATTTGACTGAAACTTTTCCCACACTCTGGACACTCATATGGTTTCTCTCCTGTGTGAGTCCTCTGGTGTGTCACGAGGCCACAATTCTGACTGAAGCTTTTCCCACAATCTGGACACTCATACGGTTTCTCTCCTGTGTGAGTCCTCTGGTGTGTCACCAGGGTGGAATTATGCCTGAAACTTTTCCCACACTCTAGACATTCATATGGTTTGTCCTGGGAATGAGTCCTCTGGTGTATCACTAGGGTGGAATTCTGACTGAAACTTTTCCCACACTCTGGACATTCATATGGTTTTTCTCCCGTGTGAGTCCTCTGGTGTACCACAAGGTGGGAAATTTGACTGAAACTTTTCTCACACTCTGGACATTCATACAATTTAACCTGGGAATGAGTCCTCTGGTGTATCACCAGGGTAGAATTATGACTGAAACTTTTCCCACAATCTGGACACTGATACGGTTTATCCTCAGTGTGAGTCCTCTGGTGGGTCACCAGGGTGGAATTATGACTGAAACTTTTCCCACACTCTGGACACTGATACGGTTTTTCTTCTGTGTGAGTCCTCTGGTGTGACACCCGGCTGGAATTTTTACTGAAACATTTCCCACA